ATACATATATATATGTGTGTGTGTATATACACATCTTGACTTTCTAAGACTTTAAGTAGTATAAGGAAATGCAAAAATGACCAGCCATTTGTACTGATGATTGCTCACAGTTACTTCTCATTTAAATAAGTGTTTACATCAGAACATCTTATCGTTATTAGACATTCTCACAAAAACCTACTTTTCTGGTTCATTATCTAACGATCTTCTGTCAATCCCAGCATACATGGCAGAGAGCCCCTCCTTTTATCCCATACCCATCGTAAGAGAAACACTTAAAATGCAACCTCTCCAAGTCAAAGGATAAACTCAGATTGATTTTTCACTCCAAACAACATTGTTTTGGACATCTTCAGTAACAGTCGGTGCATTTTTAGAATTCGAGTTTCTGCAAGTAAGAATTATTTTTCAGAAAAACAGATTTCAAGGGGAGACACAACCTGCTCTCTGGGATGAATTACTTCAGAAATTTGTCAGAAAAGTAAAACAATAGGAAGTAACAAAACTTAATTCTATTAAAATAATAAAACTAAAAATTAAATAAAAACGGTCTATTTTACTGCAGTTGTTTCATTTTTCCTCATTACGTTGTGATGTTAATTTTGGGTGTTGATGAATTTATATTGTTCCGTCAGTGAAAATCACTTGATTGAAAGATGATCACAACCTGTCTGGAAGTCACAAAGGACGTTCATGCATTTTGTCGTGTTCGCTAATTTGCTAAAGCTTTAGAGAAAAATTATACCAAGATGATTGTACCTGTCATAAGGTGTTTATTAGCTACTGGAAATTAGTTTGTTTCAGGAATACATTTTAACAATACCTTTTATTTTGTTTGCTTAATTTTTGTAAAAGAGGAAGCATGAATGAAGAAAATAAGCTAAGCCCAAGAAATGGGCCTTGGGGCACCCCCTTCCAGGTCAATAAATGAAGACGTCCTCAGCATCAGTTCAATGTTACAAAGAGCGGTTTCCCCCTGAGTAATGAACATAATAGAGGTCTGTAGAGCTTCAACTGAAACTTTGACAACTCTTGGATATAAAAGCAGGAAACCTGGGGAGAGCCGTGCAGGTGGGCTGAGGACTCATGAAGGTACCACGTGTCTCTAATGCCTCCCCATCACACTCACATTAAAGGTCTTTAGAGAAGCCTCCCCTTCACTCATATCTGAATGATGCTTTATGGGTTTGGGTTCTGAGGGGAAACATACCGGCACGTGCGCGCGCAGCCACCCACTGGTCGCGTGCATGGATTAATCATATCTGGAGAGAGCTAGGGAAATGGTGAGTCCGGTGTGACTTTATCCTACACTGCTGCACACTCACCTACACACACTCCCTGATCTCCATCACACACTCACAGGAGCGGACTGCGCACTGGGGAGAAGGGAGGGCCAAAGAGAGAGAGAGAGAGAGAGAGAGAGCGTGAGGAAAAGAGGGAGGCGACACATGTCAGACTAAATCGAACAGGGGAATGTGCCGGATTCCACCGCTGCCCCGCGCTACGGACCCCCCCACCCCCAAAGCCCTGCCTCACCGGGACATCACACGTCCAGACGGAGAGCGGAGCGGCACGGTTCCAGGAGAGAGTAATAAAAAAGGAGTCACCTGGCTGCGGAGAGAGAAAGGAGAGGGGAGGAGGGTGGCGGGAGGGACCAGGGGAGGAGGTGCGCCCGCCCGGCGGAGCCTTCCGCACGTTTTGGGGGTAACGACGCAAGCTCAGCGGAGAGTCGGCGCAAAGTTTCCCCGATGGCGCTGGTGATGGAGCCGGTGAGCAAATGGAGCTCGAGCCAGGTGGTGGACTGGATGAAAGGTAGGTTCACATAAAGTCAACATTTTGTTTCTTTTAAACCAGTTCTCCACCTGGAAACAGCAGCAGCAACAGTCCTGATTCTATTGGACGCAGGCATTCACAAGATGCCATGGTGCGTGGGAGGTGTGCGTGAGTTTGTCCGTGCCTCGTTCTGGCACCTGATGATCAGTGGGTGATGATGCAGCCGACTGTGAGAGTGACAGAGGGAGAAAAAAGGCAAAGTTCATTGCTAAAGGACAGGGCCGGTTTTAAAAAGTTGAAAGAGGGGGCCACACTCTCAGTGAGGTAGTGTAGGTATTATGTTTGAATTTTTTTTTTCCATTCTTTTTTTTGCTGTTGTTATTTTGACTTTGGAAATCCAAAGTGTGTTTTAGTATGGGTGGCACAGTTGGTAGAGCTGCCACCTCTCAGTGAGAAGGTTGTCAGTTGAAATCCTGGCCCGGGGCCTTTTCTGGGTGGAGTTTGCATGTTCTCTCCGTGCATGCGTGGGTTTTCTCCAGGTACGTCGGTTTCCTCCAAACCAAAAACCTGAATGTTAATCTGATTGGTAACTCTAAATTGTCCCTAGGTGTGAGTGAGAGTGTGAATGGTTGTTTGTCTCGTTTGTCTCTCTGTGTCCCTGTGATGGACTTGTGACCTGTCCAGGGTGTACTCTGTCTCTCACACACTGATAGCTGGACATGAGCACCTGTGACCCCCGTGACCCTAAAAAGAAGAAGCACGTACAGAGAATGGATGGATGGTGTTTTAGTATATTCACACATTCAGATTGATTTAAGAAAAACTAAAACTAAAAAAACGGTGATGAAAATATATATAATTTTGTTGTTTTGATGTTGGTTGACAGTTCTACAGCTGTTCAGGTGCTTTAAAAACTCAAGTTTTTGCCTTTTTACATTGAATGTGGGCAAAAAGCATTGAGGAACAGAAGGCCTAAATTTGACTGGATCAAATTTAACTGGATCAAATTTAACTGGATCAAATTTAACTGGATATATTATAGGAGCTTTTCAGACGTTCACATTGTTATCGCTAATGCAGTGTCACAATGGTGTTTCTTTCAACTCTTATACATTTACCATAACAGTGTGAAGAAGACATTTCCAAAATATTTTATTTATTTATTTATTTAATTTACCAATCTGGGTCATTTATGATGAGGTCATTTATAGACACTTTATTAACCACAGGAGGAAATTGGAGGCATCAAGTTGCATGTTGTAATTATACAGAAAAAAAGACACTTATGAATAATCAAAAAGAAGCAAAATACACACATTTGGAAAAAGACAATGTGTAATATACAATAGACAATATATAGGTTCATCATGTGAGCCAAACTTCACTATTTACATTGCAAAAATGACAACGTAATCGGGTTGTTCCTCACATTTTTTAATATTTTTAAAGGGTATTTTTACAAGGGTAAAAAAATACAGGTGATGGCAACTGTTTTAGTTTTATTTAATAAAGCTCAGGTCGTGTTTTGGTGGAGTTGAATGTTTCTGCATTGCTGCTGCCACCAGAAAACAAAAAAAAATACAGATATATACAGGTCCTTCTCAAAAAAATTAGCATATTGTGATAAAGGTCATTATTTTCCATAATGTAATGATAAAAATGAAACTTTCATATATTTCACATTCATTGCACACCAACTGAAATATTTCAGGTCTTTAATTGTTTTAATACTGATGATTATGGCATACAGCTCATGAAAACCCAAAATGCCTGTCCCAAAAAATTAGCATAT